GGCAGAACCAAAGATCAACCAATGTAGGATGAGCATATATGCAGCGGAAGTCTGATAAACGGACTGACTCACATAGACTGACTCACATAGCATCACCCCACACACATACAATCGTGAGATGGTGGGGTCTGGGCCATTCGTAGACGATGCCCAGATCCCGTACACGCATTCACAGATGAAAGGTGGGAGGAGAGACGAAGGAGGTGGGGAGGTAGACAACACCGATAGATAGAGTCTGATAGGTCTCCGATATGGTAGTCCAAAATGTCATACAACAAGATCAAAATGTCGAGGCCCATAGGTCATCAATGTCGGAGATACAGAGTCCAGATGTAACCGGTGTCCAACTGTGATGCAGCCGAGTATCAACCTCAACAATCTCCAAGTCGCCAATCAGGTAAGTACCACAGTCTCATATCACCGAAGTCCAAATCTGATTTCTGTCCAACTAGTATAAGTCTCTAGTCTGAAGAAGAAGAAGAAGAAGAAGAAGAAGAAGAAGAAGAAGAAGAAGAAGAAGGAGGAGGAGGAGGAGGGAGAGAGAGAGAGAGAGAGAGCTGACGAGGGAGGGAGGAGAGGTCCTCCTCTCCCAGGTACCTCAGGCGGCAATGGCCGCCGTGCTGGCTCAGTCGCCCTGCTGCTGCTCCGCTTGCCGCTGCGCTAATGCTGCGCTGCCGCTGCTGCTCCGCTTGCCGCTGCGCTAATGCTGCGCTGCCGCTGCTGCTCCTTGCTCGCTCCTGCGCTAAACTTAGCGCATCAAAACAGTGCTCTGGCGCTGACCATAACGCACCGGTAGAGTGCCGGTGGTTCGATGCCTCCAAGTGAGGCTGTACCGGTACTTTATACCGGTGGGGCAGAGGCCGGCCTCAATGCTGCGAGGCCTGGCCATGCCCTGAACCGTCCAGATGGACGKTTCAGCCCCAACCGGCGGGCGGCAGCCTCAAGAGCGCCGCCAGGYCCAAACGATAATGCCGTTTGGRCCTGCCCGTCGGGTACTGGTCCAAGATCAGGCCCTGAGGGCCTGTAATACCCCAAGGTCGGGCCTTTAGGCCCTGATGTGTCCCTCCGGCCCTAAGTCGGGTCTGGTAGGACCCGTGTGCGTCGAAGATGTAACACCAAGGAGACTTACCTGCAGCGGTGTTTGAGAGGTATAAAGTTATGCTAAACAGTGACTAAAGGGGTTTTAAAGGGTATAGCTTCCCTCATTCTCCTCATTTATCCTCAGCCAAAAGTTGCTTGTATATTTTACACAACATATATTTTTTCCACATTTTTTTGAATTTTATGATTTTTTTATTTATTTAAATATTTTACGCTGAGCCTGCCTGGGACCCTGCCTGGACCCTGCCCGGCCCGGGCCACCTGGGAGGGTACCCAGGCGACCTTCCCCCAGACGGTCTGGGACCAGCCTAGAATTTTTAAATATAAGTTATTATTATTTAAGTAATTCTGAAATTTTCGGGATAGGACCCTGATATCCGGCTCGATACTTGGTTACATACAAGTTTCTTGGAAGTTGTGTGTGTTAGAGTAAGCTCACAGTTGCACTGCAGCCAAGCCGAACAGAAGTTGATTTTTCTCCCAGTGCTGCAAACACATAAAATTCACGCAAGAACAAAACAATAAATTAAATAAGTAAAACTGAACTTGTGCTGACTCCTCTCCTAATTACTGTCTCATGTTTTAGAATAATTTACTCCCGCTCTTCGTTCAACCTAACTCCCCTCATTGACAAACCTTCTGAGAAATGCTGAGATAGACACAAGGACAAGACACAGTCGAGGTGTAGTGACAGTAATATGGATCTTACGAAAGACTGCGTTATTCAGTTTTGAAAAGACTGGCAGTGTTGCAGAAGGACGGTTCCTTGCTGCCTTGTTGGTTATTGTCATTTGCCTGTCCAATGGCCTCCCCCTGTCCTCCACCCTATATGCCTTCGTGTTGTCCACCGTTCACAACCTTGTCGCCTTGCCAGTGTGTAGTGGCAGTAATATGGATCTAAAGAAACACGGTATTGTTCAACATTTTGAAAGACTGCGCACTGTTGCTCACCTGTGCTCCTTGCTGCCTTCACGGCATCGTTTGTCTGTACAATGACTCCCCCTCTCCTCCAGCTTATATGCCTTCTTGTTGTTAACCGTTCAGAACCTTGTCGCCTTGCCCTTGCGTTGGTCGTTGTGCTGTCACTTGTAGACCGTCCTTCTGCCACAGGGGTGAAAGGAGATCATGACTCGAAACATCAATATGGGGATTTTGCTGACTGATGACACCAAAAAGTCCATTGTCTGCATCATACATTAAGTTCTTTTCTTTCGATCTCACACTCTTGTACTCAAAGACTGTGCTCAGCATGCCTAGGCTTGTCTTGAGGGGTGAGGAGTTTGTCTTATCTTCCAATTTGGTGATGGGTGACCTAAGTGTTCTATCAAATCAGAAATGCAATACATAGAAACCAGGTTGTGACATTCAATGAAATCCAGCAACTCAATACAGACTAGCTTTGAGCCCGCGATGTGGGCGGTGCGGCCTAGTACGTCGGAAAAAAACAAACGAAGAGAAGCGAACAAACAAATGTCCCCTTCTCTCTCTCTCTCTCTCTCTCTCTCTCTCTCTCTCTCTCTCTCTCTCTCTCTCTCTCTCTCTCTCTCTCTCTCTCTCTCTCTCGTGTTGCACACCCTCGAGTACAAAAGCATCTATCAGTCTGCAATTACTGTCTCCAGGCATGCCCTCCAAATCTACTCTGTGAGCCTCGCTCCACTAATTAATATTCTATTTGCTTTCTGGGCCCCATGCATTTGAGATGTTCGAGTCCGCTGAATTCACCTGGTCCAGTAAGCATCCAAGTGCATGTAGAGTGTTGTGTAGTGGAGAGACTCCCTGTATAGGTCCTTATAAATAGGTCCTTAGTTAACTTAGGTTCTCTATATGTGGTGGTAGATACATCAGTAATATCATAAATACAAATGTTACGATCCTGGTCATTCCCAAAGTGCAAATTCACAATGAAAGACAATGTCACCCATTGAAAGCACGCAAAGAGTTAGAGACCAGAGAAGAGAGAAAGAAGAAGAAGAAGAAGATGTACATCAGCAAGACCAATGACAATTCCCCCTTCTCTCTCCACCTTCCTCCTCCTCCTTAACTTCGCCAATCTTATTCTTCTTCCCAATAATAATAATAATAACGAGTGGATGAACCAGAATCACTATCCGAAGTTCCCTCTTACTGCTGACACAACAATCGGTCCACCATAGCTATGGCTTCCCTCCTTCTTCCTCCTCTCACATGCCTGGGCTATGGCGGACTACTGAGGGCTTTACCCTCCTGTGCAAAGGACAACGTAAAGCAGATACTTCGCTGCATTCCTGTCCAACGGACAACCCAGAGCAGCTATGTCGCTGCTCACTGAACCGCCATGTCAGACTCTGCCTCGAGCTTCCTTGGTGCGGCACTACCCCAACTGGGGCCTTCCAGATGCAGCACCCAACAAGGTGATGAAGATGGTGTCCACCATAGCCAGGTAAGTACCTCGCCACTCTCTCCTCTAACCCCCTTCTTCCTCCTCCTCAAACTGGGCTGCTCGCCATAGCCCGGCTGAGCGCCCAGCTGCTCTTAACCTCCAGGCAGCGCTGTGCTCCAGCAGCATGTCGCCGATCCTTGCATACCGCATATGAGAGGAGCTACTTGCTCCTCCTGAAGATACAGTGGCCTACCGGCCTCTTGGGCGGTGACTTCCTAGGCCGACCGGCTCCCAGCAACCGGTACCTCCTCCCTTTCGGAGGGAAATTGCAGGCTCTGCTCTCGTCCGAACAGGCCCTAGACCCGGGCTACTTGGACTGGTACCAGCCTCTCTCTAACCTACCGTTACTGGGCCTCTAAAAATGCCTAACGTTTTGTCCTCTTCTGCTCGGCCTCCAGTACTCGACACTTCTACCACTACTTGAGCGGGCCTACCTGCTACTTGAGTGTTTTCCCCTCTAAGTGTCGCGGGCCTACTGCAACCCTCAAAGTCACGACCACATCCAACAAGTACCCTTGCGGGTCACACACACACTCAGTCGACAAGCACTCAGACAGACACGCAACCCAGCAGGCACGCACACACACACAGACTTGGAAACCACAGCAGAATGGAGGAATCTCAGCAAGGCATTCATTCCAGCGGCAAATCCCAGAAATCAGCAGTGTTCTCAGTCTGTGTTTTGGCAGGTCATTACACACAGACTCTATACCTTTCTCTTCCATGCCCGCTCCACCTACACATTGTGTTCAGAAGCTCTCCGCTCAAATGCATCTCCGGTCACGATGGTGAAAATTTTTCAATTTCAATTTCAATCCAATGATGTTCTAGTGTGCGGAGGCTATGGCCTCTAGATGTGTATAAGAGACAGCTCTATACCTTTCTCTTCCATGCCCGCTCCACCTACACATTGTGTTCAGAAGCTCTCCGCTCAAATGCATCTCCGGTCACGATGGTGAAAATTTTTCAATTTCAATTTCAATCCAATGATGTTCTAGTGTGCGGAGGCTATGGCCCTGGAATAAGTTAATCATTTCATAAAAACATACATAATTTCTCTAATAGTTACATAAACTGTGAGTGGGGTCAGCATTGGCCCAAAGAGGCAGTGGGGACCACCTTCTTCATGTACGACTGTCTGGGTTGCAGGGCGTAGTGCCTCTGGAGAATCAGTAGGAAGAGGTATGGCTATGGTTTACCCGGCTACAACCTTTAGAATTGCTTCAAGTTTGAACCAATTAACTGACCCGAAATTAACAACATCTCTGTGTAATGGAAACATGCTGGAGATCAACGTACCAAGATTAAGGGTCAGGCCCTTCTCTGCAAGCCTTAGTTACTGATAGAACCCCCTGTATGCAGTCAAACCCCCGGAGATCTACTCCCAACCGAACTCCTGATTGGACAAGCTCAGTCCGCTTGGACATGCCTGGTGCACAAACCACGTGACATAGTATGAGTGCAAACATTCCCAGATGCCAGGTATGATAAAGCATTAGTGCAAACAGTTCAAGATGTCATGTCAACCCACAACCTTGCAACATGTCTGATCAACGCTTGTTGTTGCTCCCCTCCTCACCAGTAGTCGGCCCTGAAAAGGCCATCTGTGCAAAATGTCACCCAACCCTCAGCGGAGGCCATGCCCAAAAAAATTAGCTCCTCCCTAAGCGAAGGTCACCTGGATACGCCGGGCGAGTTTGCAACCCCAGTCCATGGAATTAACCAGTGGGTCCAAAGTTTCACTTGGTTACACCGACCGGGACTGAGACTCACGCCAGTAGGCAGTAGGGATTGGGTTTTGGAACCCTTGCCCCAAGCTCCACGCAGAACAAAAGAGGGGAGGCTTGGGAAGCAATACATTCGGGATTTGGCAGTAGTGTGGCAGAGAGAGAGAGAGAGGGTTTTCATGGCACAACTGGAGAATCTTGAACTGTATCTATTGACCCTGGAAAATCTATTAACCTTGTGTTGTATGGTAATATGTAAGAGCTCACAATCCTTTGTCCCCTAGTATGTCTCTAGAGCCCGTTTCGACCCCACGGTAAAGTGCAGTATTTCCTGACACCCCCGACATCCCGTACTAAGGAACTGTTGTGCCAGCCTCAACCCTTGGCTACGTACTAGGAGGATGACCAGCCCTAAGTCATAATCTGGTAAAGAACAGAGGACCTAATGTGAATCATGCAAATAACCTAACTTATTGACCTAAGCTATGAAATAGTATGTATGGCTCGAGTAAACCAGACTGTAAAAACCACCCATCAGTCTCGTGACGACCCCATATACCCAGAACATCAGGACACCACTCCATCGCCCAGTCCCAACATACAACAACCATGATCATAACAGTGGTGATGGGAATAGCAAAGGGGGAATAAATGAAAATAGTAATGAGACAACTACTTTACCTGGACAAGAATAGATGCAGGAGCAGATCCAAATTTACAAGCAAAAACAAGCACCACTTTCACAGCTGCTCCTGGCAAGCAACGAATGAAAGACGGGTAGCAGGATCTGTTACTGCATCCACAATTTCTACAATATGGTAAACCAGGAGTTGGTGTGTCGTTACATGAAAGACATAATAATCATGAATTATCAGAAAATCGCAATATTGCCATAGTCCAGCTCATACTGTTGATGTGGCAGGGGCAGCTGCAGCAGGGGGCAGATGGACAGCATGAGCTAAGTACACTACAGCAAAACCCGCAGATGGATATAGCCCGGTTCCAGGGGTGTATCAGCCGTACCAGACACCATCACAGCAGCAACCCATCAATCCATTAAAAAAACAGGGAATGCTGCCTCAGCCATCCATGCTTCTGTGGAGCACGCACCCCATCCCACCAACCCCCCATGCCCCTCTTGTGTCTTCTTCTTCATTCGAAAGAAGGGTGTGTGGGTGGGGGATACCCAGGCGCCGTTTAAAGGCATGTCTGCGTAAAGCAACGGGTGCGCGTGAGCACTCATGCTCTTGGCGGTTCTTCGATTTCAGGAATGGTCGTCGCCTCTCTCTCTCTCTCTCTCTCTCTCTCTCTCTCTCTCTCTCTCTCTCTCTCTCTCTCTCTCTCTCTCTCTCCCCCCTACGGTTGGGGATGGGTTTGCCCAAAAGTACCTTGTCCAGCTCCGCATGGCCGCAGCATATATGTGAGGGACGCTGGGCCCGTTTCCCAGCTTATATTCAATATGCAACAAGATTGAAAAAAAAAAAGACAGCGTCCGACAGAAAAAATACGGCAACAGGTAATCCACAAAAAACAGTGACACGGGAACAATAGCGGGGTGGTGAATGTCCAACTCCGCATGCCTGACCCATGGTTTCGGATGATACGGAAACAATAGCGGGGTGGTGACTGTCAGGAAATGGTTGTATGAGCTAAAAGCATAAAATCGAAACTATGAATCTTTTTCAGGGCACGCTCACACTGCAGGAGCAAATCCGTATAAATTGCAAAAGTGGGTTGGGCCGAATTGGGGTATTTGGGACGTTTGAGGTCACAATGCGTTCACACCGCGTTCCCATTTCTCTAAAGACACGGTCGCTACCGTGCCATCAGGGTGCTGCTGTTTGGGGTTTCCAGTCACACAGAAGTAACCCCAAATATAGAACGTACATGTTCCCTTTTTTTTTTTTTTTTGCCAGGGAAATGACGCCAGGTTAGAACCTTTATACCCTATAGAACTTTCAAAAGCGACATATCCATTCACGTGAGAAAGACGAAGCAAGAAAGAGAGCAGGAGATGAACGAAGTTATGAAGAGTCTACAACTACTCGGCCCTGCCTACATCATACCTCCTCACTACTAAACACACGATTACCATGGAAATCAGGCAATATGGACCAAGCACCCACTAGGAGAGAGCACATTAAACATCCTCTCTCTCTCTCTCTCTCTCTCTCTCTCTCTCTCTCTCTCTCTCTCTCTCTCTCTCTCTCTCTCTCTCTTACACAAGTTCACTTACAAGCTGACAACTACTGCACACCCGATTGTCGCTCTGCCAAATGAGTGAGGGACGCTGGCAAACGTCCTTCCCATTCCTATTACAAGCTCACTCCTCTCCACATTTAACTGCCTCCCTCTCTCGTCTCCACTAGACTCCACATGCAACTGCGGTCACATTTCCACTCGCAAGTTAACTTACTTCTCTTCAACTTGAAGGCAATCAACTCTGCAGAAAGTGCCCACCATTTTACCATCGCATACAAATTCGAATATCATTAATTTAAATACATGTTCCCTTTTCAACTTTACATTCATTTACGGAAAAAAAATAAAAAAAATTAAGGATTTTGCGGTAACCTCTGGAGGTTACCGCAAATTCCTCAAACCCACGGCCAGGCAGGCCGCTGACAAATGGGTTTGCGAATGGGGTGTTCGGGGTCGGAACCATTGTGTGTGACCAGCCGTGTGCACATTTTTTTGGGATTACGTTTTTGGTACCCAGTGTGAGTGTGCCCTCAGTTGAAAAAAAAAAAAAAAGACTGTGAAAAGAAAAAACAAACGGCACGGGAAAGGTGAAGTCCGACGAAACAGTCTGGCACAGTCATGCTGTTTTGGAGTGCATAACAAACATGACAACACACACACACACACGAATCTTTTTCAGTTGCAAGAAAAAAAAAAAAAAAAGTGAAAAAAAAAAAACGGCACGGGAAAGGTAAAGTCCGACCAAATAGTTTGGCACAGTCATGCTTATTTGGAGTGCATAGCAAATATGACAACACACACACACACACACACACACACACACACACACACACACACACACATACACACACACACAAGGCCTCGCCACAGCACTCTCGAAATGTGAAAAAGACAAAACTGTGGCGGGTGCATCTGGCCATGTTCTAGTGGGAAGTTCATTCTCAATTTGCACATTTCGAGAGTGGTGTGGCGACGCCCACACACACGCAGAAATCTTTTTCAGTTCCAAAAAAAAAAAAAAAAAAAAAAAAAAACCTGAAAAAAACAGGAAAACGGCACGGGAAAGGTGAAGTCCGACTAAA